GGCAATGTTTTGTCGTGTTTTGTGCTGCAATGTTGCACCTACATAAAGTGGCTAAATGATGCGTTAAAAATGAGTGGAGGCCTCCTCTCATACGGGGGGGAGGTGCATTTCGTTGGGCAAACGGACAAACTGTCGCAGTCACAAATTTTGTCTGCTAGAGGACAAGGCCTACAAGAGCATTTGGAGTGTGGGAATGTACTCGTAAAGTTCACCGAAAAGGCAACATTTGCTAATGACAAACAATTGCAGCCGTTTACCACGTTGGGTTGGGGGTTTTCCACCCCAAAGGGGATTCAAGTGCCACTGCACCGACCGCCGCTCCCCTCCAACTTTTATTATTATGCAACGTGCGTTTCCCACCGCAAAAATTCGCAAAAAAAAAAAACAGGATTTAAGGGAAAACCCTTTAGTTTCAGGCGTGGCATGTGCTGCACATAAATTTTCTTGGTATTTTTTATGGGCTAGGTATATATTTTTAGCCACTTGTTTTTATCCTTTTCGGTATTTTAATTGCAATGAAAGTGTGGTTAAAAAAAATGAACTTACGAACGCTTTTTATGCATTCATAATAACCAGAAACACTGTCACATGGACCACAAGTTGCCGGTTCGGCGGAGAGCCGTATGATTTGTTGCATATTTATGTAAATTTGTGGTTTTTTGTCGGTGTCCGTTGGCCATCTCTCCGGAGCCGGGCTAAGAGACCATCTTAAAAACATCCGGCAGCAGGTGTTGTGGCCGAGCAATTAGTGGGAGAATTACTTTCATGACGGCCACTTTTAGAGTTGCAAGCTGTTTACATATTATTTAGAAAATGTAGAATATATGTAGAATGAATGTAGAAATTAATTTTTTTATTAAGCTTAAATAAAGTAAAGAAAAACATCCTACCTTACTCTCCATCGGTTCCTACGCATCGAAGCATTTGCAATTCTGCAGGCCACAACTCTTGACTTGGCCAAAAGGAAGGCAGCATATGGCTATCAATTTGCAGGACATACCCCAAAGACTATAAAGAAAGAGCCACGTTCGTTTCTCTTTCCTTATTATTTTTACCACTCTTGATAGCCAGGCAAAGCCAATTTCCGAGAAACGTTTATGCAAGAAACAAGAAAATATATCCCTTATTGAAATTGAAGTTATACAAATAGAATAAAAGAATAATAACAATTCGATTATCTTTAAGCAACAATAATTGAAAATATATCTGATAAACGAATTTATTCACAACTCCGTATGAACCTGATTCTGATCGAAAGGCTTGACCACTGCAAAATCTGGACGTACAAGGGAGAACACCTACGGCCCATCCTTTGTCGGTCTGTTGACAATGTCCTTGTCGTCCTGACTGACCTGAGCAAAACCGAGCTGAACTGTCGCTGGCATCGACGACAGGTGTGCATGATTTATGAGATTTACATATCAGTCCGCGCTGATGAAGCGCGTTGATGCCCCGCCAACGACAACGACAGGCGGACAACGGCGACAGGATATGGACAGAAGTCGGGGCAAGTTCGGCATGTTACCCGCCAGAAATAGGCTAAAATGAAATGCAAATTTGTGCACTGATTGATGATATTACGCTTGTTAAGGTCAGCTCCCACACTTTGCATAAGTCCCTTAGCTACTTTCCCACTTCTTTCTGAAATGAATTCCAAAGAGACACGCAGAAAGACAAGGAAAAGTATTACATACTTTGGGGCTGCCTAAGAAAGATACTTTTGTTTTGCATCGCTTCAGGCAAATGTGGGGCTTACTAATATTTTTTATTGAGTTGGGAGTTTTAATAAGACAGTGCTGGCAAACTTTGAATCAGCCTTTTAACCAATCATATTATTATAGATTGGCTTGATGGCCTAAAAGATTTTTTATAAAATCGTAAGCTTATAAGGATATCTATCCGTCACATTTTTATTTAATTTGAATTTTATCATATTATTTCGCTACTTTTTTCGGGTTATAATGCTCTAACGTCTGAAATTTTCTTCCCAATCTGTTGTATTTGGGAACAGAGCCCTTCACTTTGCCTCTTTCCCACGGATGGAAACGTGCTCATTAACCAGACGTGGCAGGCCTGGCAGACGACAGTATATCGCCTCCCTCTCTGCTCCGAATAATACAATCTGCCCCCCACCAGCTCCCCTAAATCTGCAGAAAATCAGCGGCAGGCAACATGTGTTCCTGATATTTTTATGGCATTGGATACATGTAGTCTGGGTCTCAGTTTCTCGGTGGCAAAAGCAGCCTAAGCTGCCTAATTGTTATGCGCACAATTCGCAGCACCGAGCATCAACGGCACTGAGATTTGTAGACCTACAAAGTCATCAACGTACATATGTACATATATGTGGGACCAAGGACCATGGCAGAGTCATAAAATTTTCATCTAGGAGTAGTTTTAACGACTCGAGTTGGACTTAAGGGCTCACCGAGGACATTAATCTCTGTGAGGAATACAGAAAGTGTCCTTACTAGAATTTGCCTTCGTAAGCATTCACCAAATTGTACGATTTCTGAAATGACTAAGCAATTTACTGTGCTAAATGTGCTTTTAATAATACACAATTCAAGGACACTTTATGGTTTGAATGAATTATTTTTTATTGTTTTCAAGTGAGAGTAATTACTTAAGTAAAATCATTTAGGGAGAACATTATATAATAATAAATTTTAACTATAATTCTATAACTAATAAATCTTCTTTGAACCCCAAACATAGCTTTTTCAATAAAACCTTAAATCTCTGCTACTCTGGAAGTCACTAATAAATCGCAATTTAATTTTATGGCTGTTCCATTAATAGGCCAATAACCGATGTTACCCCAACTGGCCCGTTGCTGGTTAACACCCTATCTCCCCCTTAACCCCACAATGGCCCACGTAGAGTAGAGTTTACTGCGGGCCAAAAGTTTCACTCCTTTCGGCTGATCAATAAAATGGGAGCTAAATCAATTAGCCGATGGCGGCGGACTGGGAAACTTCTTGGCACTTTCATGAACTTCTGGCCGGTAATTAAAATCCACCCACAATACCAATCTGTACTGGAACAGATTTCACTAATTACTTTTATGACCCAAATTTGCGGAATGCGCAGTTTGCTATAAATTTCTACCTTGAACAGTAATAAACCCGGCGAACATCAGTTGCAGACTATATTTTGCCATCAATGCTCGTCGTTCTTGTCCTGTTATAAATACCCTGTATTTTTGGGGGAAATTATCTATCTGTAAGATATGTCATTTTAGTGTCTGTGATCAGATACATTCAAAAGCTTCTGAGTGCAACACAGATACTCTGATAATTCGTTTTTCATTCAAACGATTCAAATTTTTTTTAATTTTTTGTTCATTTATTCAGGCATCAGCATAAATAAATTAAACATAAATCGGTATCTCGAAGTCCTGAGCTTTAATTTCGGACTTTTCTCACAACATTTTCTTTTTATTCGTTTCACTCACTTCTCTCGCCATTTCCGAACTAATCGAAGACGCTTGCTCGCAGAATTTATTGCTGCTTCTGCGGAGGCGTGGCAGGGGGCTGCTAAGATATAGACTGAGGGGGGCGTGGCACGGGGCGAAGAACTGCTCCTTTGACCTGTCTGCCTTGGTCGCTGTTGTTGCTATTGTTATATATTTCTCCTTCTTTATCGCCTGGGGCGCTGCAAACAAGTTTCTTGTGTCCCGACAAAAAAGGAACCCAAAAAAATGGGGGAAAAAACCAAGAAACAAAACATTACAGAAAAACTCTTTTGCCGTCAGCTGCTCGACTGCAGAAAACTCGTTGCGCTTGTTGCGCGTTTTGTTGTAAATTATAAAGAAATAAAAAATAAAATTTCATGAAATATTGCTTAGGAATGAGACTGCCTTTGATGTTTTTAGGCCGCCTAATAAGCCGTCGATGTTATTGTTTTACCTTTTTTTGTTGTAGACTTGGGAGCGCCAGTCTCGAACACGCAGTCTGCGACTTTTTTAAAAAACTGAAATCCGTAAAATTTAGCTCTTGCGGAGGTGGGCTTTCAATCGGTAATTGAGGTGGGTGCAACAGGCGTCAGATATTAAATAAATAAATTCAAATAAACAATTTTTTTAACAATAAGGTGGCAACAAGTTTGTTTTTGATATATTTTTCGTTTCATATTCGTATTCTAAATAAACATTGTTTAATATACAGCTTTGGTTTTTAAATAAATTTACTTACGTTCTATTATTTTTAAGTACCAACGAAATACCAAAAGATGCTCACTTTTATCCGCCCTACAAAAAGCAGCAACAACAACAACAACAACACTAAATGTAGCTTAAACTAAAACAACAACACGTAGCAGCAGCATTCGAGACCGGAAGTAAGCGAACGTGCGAGTGCAAAAGGGACCACAATACGAACGCCAAATGTTGTTGCTGTCTCCCCAAATGGCGTTTTTTGAGCGACTTCGCCGCAAAACAACAAAGCGCTCTCTTGCTCTTTTTCGCTCTGCAAGTGGCTCTCGGAGAGAGCCAGCAAACATTTGCGGTTGTTTTTGTTGGTGGGGCGAGGGAAAAGTTTATGTTGTGGGTGGTTGTTGCCATCAAGAGAGCGAGAGAGGGCCAAAAAAGTCAACCGAGAGAACAATCTTTTCATATTACCCTGTTCTTTCAAAACTTCAGAAGTGTATTGAGCTTGTTCCGATATTTGGGTTTTGTAATTGCATTTGCTTAATAAAAAAAAACATTTTTTAAAATAAAATTTTATGGTTTTCTTAAATTATTAATCTATTTTGAAGATAATAAAATGTATTAAAATTTAAGCACCGGGTATAATGTAGTCGAAAAAGCTTACTCTTAGGTTTATTTTAATATGCTTGCCGCAAACGTCAAACAATCGAGAGAGAGAGAGAGAGAGAGAGCTATACAAATCGAGTGGCGGCGAGAGACGTTTTTCGCGGGGGCCGCTTGTATCTTTCGGTACGGCTCGGCAATATCTTTCGGATTCCGTTTGCCTGCTATATCTTTCGGATTCAGTTTGTTTGCGACCGTTACAACAGAAAGTTGATTCGAAGCGGAGCGATTCGTGGACTCGTTGTTATCGTGTCGTCGTCGTTTTGTCGTTGATTTCCGTTTGTGCATGCAGCCAGAGCCAGGTCTTGACTTGATTCTCGACTAGGCCTAGTATCGAAATCGAAACCGAAGTCGGTTAATGGAAAATAAACAAACAAACAAAGCACTCGTTTTGTTTGCCGCGCATTAAAAGTAATTCCTATTTGTAACCTCTGGAAAGATTTATTAAAATCTGCTTTTGGGATATTGCATGACTGAATTAAATTACGTGTTAAATTGTTAAGCTAAATGAACTAGCCGCATCGAGAAAACAGATGCCAGTGCATGCAAATTAATTAAAACTGCGATCCGAAAACTCTCTAACTAAATAAGCATGCAAAACTCAAGACTCTTTATTTAAATCAGTGACTTGAGCGGCTGAATAAAATATGTATTTCATGGCTATTAAGATTATAGACAAAATTTATCATTAAATCTAATATCAACTTTCATGGTTTATTAACTAATGATATGTTTAACTAATGAATCTGGAAACAAAAAGCGAATTTGATGTGCGGTGACTAACAAACTTATAATCAAACAAAAACGCGAGCTTAAAATAAATAAAGCAAATAATAAAATAAATGTGTAATTAAATATTTTAAGACATTGAACTTTTAGCTCGATAAGAATCCCAGTAAACATGTGTAATTAAATAAGTGCTCTTTAAATAAATGGATATAAAATACAATTAAACTTGAGCTCGATTTACATTTCTGTACCTGGGAAACCATACAATACTACCAGTAAAACCGCATTGCAAACAGAACAACTTTCAATATTAAAAACATGAAAATTTTTCAAAGTACAAAGCTGTGGTTACTGCTATCGTTGTCGGTGACTAGCCAAGTTTTATCAATTACAGTTTTGTGCTTTGGTTTTGTGTATTCCCCATACATTATGATAAGAAAAAGAAACCGAGAAACACTTGAAGGGAACTACAAAATTTTCTGAGAAACTGATGATGTGGGCATTTGGATATTATCGGGGACGTGGGTTGAGTTCTCCTTGAAATACAACAACACTGTGTAAATATAGCCTAGGATTGTGAAATAATCCGAATCATTACTGAAATACGCCATAATTCAAGGGTTTAAAAACCCCATGAAAATAAATACTTAAACGTGACAATTAAATTAATAAAGCTTAAATCAAAGATAAGATTACTTGACACTTTGCAACCGAAATTAATTTGATTTGTAAATTTCACATAAATAAAAGTGAAATAGCTGGCAAGCCTTCCCTTCAACTGAATTAAACAATTACTCTTTGTTTCTCAGCTTGAAGCAATCAAAATCAACAAAATGCGTCAGCTGAGCTGAGCTTTAAAAGAAATACGAGCTGAGCAAACAAAATAAGATAAACTCAGAAAGTCAAGTACAGTCATTGCTCCAATTTGGGACCTGCGGTTATATTTTAGGGATTTCTGAACAACTTTTGTTCCTGCATCGTTAAAATATATTGACTTAAAGACCTCTCTGAAAAGTAATTATTGAACTGTAAATAAAAACAATAAATCTGCGGTTTGTCTTGGAATTTTACTTTGTTCGCTGACAGATAACTCATCAAGTAAATAAACTTTTTGTAAATAGGGAGCCAGTATATTCTAGTCTATTCTGCTCCAAATTATATTTTAGTAGTGACTTCATCAAGTAAACTTTCTTAACTTGTACACTTTTCTTTCATTAAATTACTTTTATTTAATTTGAGTGAGACTATATAGGTGTATAAAAGGATTGCTGAAGGATAAGCTACGGGGTTAGATTACATAGCCAGAGACCACTGTAACCAGTGGAGAACAAAGCAGGCTATAAAGATGCTCGTTCGTCGGCTCAGTCTGTTGGTTATATGGCTATATATGTGGCTATATCTGCTATGTAGGCCTATTGTCTGCGAAAACTGCACATCGGAAATGATTATGGGGGGAAAGAGTACCAGCATAGCGTAAGGGGGGAGCATGGCAAGGGGGTGGTACGTCATTAACTGACTCAGCCGCATGTTGCATCCAAGTTTTTTTCTGTTCCTCCTTTTTTCTGAGTATTCAAGTCCTGCAAAGAGAAAAAATAGGGAGAGAGCAGTAACAGAGAGAACGTGAGAGCGAGAGCTTCAGCGCAGTTTTGTTTTTGTAGCTGCGGCGAAATTCGCTGAGCTCGCCTTAACTTTCCGCAACTGCTCCAACTAACGGTGAGTTCAAAAAAATTCCTTGTTCGGAGCGGACGGATTGTCGAATTTCGTGGATTTTTGCGAGCGGTTCCCGTGTAATTTTCGTCACGCGTCGCTTATTTGCAAAAGTGTGTGTATTACGTACTGGTGTGTGAGTGTAAGTGAGTCAACTTGAAGACATTTTTGTTTTTTTTTATGGGGACGCTTCTTCTTTGGTCGTTTTATTTTACGTTTTCGCATATTCTTTTGCGGCGAATTCAATGACGTCGCAGAAATTTGTTGTTGTGCCATAAATTTATGTTTATGTATGCGTGTGCGTGAGTTTTGTCCAAGCAAATCGATTTAATTTATGAAAAATTAATACAAAAACCGGCACAGAACTATAAAAACTATGCAAGCGAGCCGAGACTCAAGCGATTTTAATTAAAAGCCGTGTGTGAAATTTTATCAAACCACAACGGCAAAAACAACAATGTTTTATCACCATTTTGAGAGCGGCACGCACGTGTGTGAGTGCTGTTTGTGTGCGTGTGATGTCGTGTGTGTATGTGTTGAAAAAGCCGGCAACGGCAGAAGAGAATTCAAAATTCAGCATTGAAAAGCAAGAAGCAAAAGGCAAAAGCAAATGCCAAAGAACGAAAGTAAAAGCATAAAGGCAAAACAAAGAAATGCCAAGTAAAACAAGAAAATCTATACAAATTAGGCTATAACAATAAAAACTAAGTCATGGGAAATGGAAGAACGGTTAAAACAATGTTAAAAAAATACAGAAATAATTGTTTTTCTAAAGTAAATATCGCATCAAACTTCGCTACATTCAAAAAAATAACATTTGAAAAAGAAATTCATGTTAAAAGTCACTAAAACATTTACCCTTTAAAAAGTTTAAAACTATGAAATTAAAAATACCTACATTCAGCGACCTATTTTTAATAAAGCTTATATTTTTCTTTTAGAAAATCTAAAACCTTGTCTGCTAATCTTGGTGTTATAAAATGAGTATTACCTAAAGTTAAAAAACAAGAATATGTCAGTGCGGTTTTAAAATACATAATATTTAACCAACAGTTGAAAATAGTCAACTTGAGAAGTGCAAGAAAAGTAAAAACAAAACCATCTTAACAAAAGTGTATAGTGCGAGCGCATTAAAGTGATTTTCACAGCTTCGAAGCATTGGGATAAGCAAAAAGCCAGCAAAATTTACTGCTTTGGAAACTCCAATTTCAACATAAACACCGAGACCGAAACCGGCAGCACCATCAACCCCCCAGCGGCACCACCCACCTCCAGATTCTGCACCACCAGCACCACCCCCAAAACAGTGCTAGTATGCTGTTCGAGAATCCGGCGGTTGCGGCCAAGTTGCCCTTTCCGTACAACGTGCCACCGCCTCTGCAGGCGGCGGCAGCAGCAGCAGCGGCTGTCCCAAATCTAAGGTGAGTTTTTACTTTCCAAACATTGGGGGAAAATATTTAGAAATCGGTTTTTAAATCACTGGACAATAATTACTTTACCTCAGTTCAAATTTATATTAATATTATTGAAAACATAGATTTTTATTAAACCTAAATAACTATTTTACACATACATACACATAAATATTTTATGTATATTTAAAAAAATATTTTTTTCGTGTGCATATTTACTCACCCACTGCCTCTTCGGTAAAGTAAGAACTCTTCGCGTCTCAAGGCCATTAAAGGCGTTAATGCGCTTTGAGGTTTTACTCTCTTTTTTTCACACCGCTTTCGCCCAACTTTTGCCTCAGTGGCATATTTATGAAAATTGTTTTGCTCTCTGCTTGTTTTTAAATTTTTCATCAGGCACTCAGCCTCAGTTTGAGTCGCGGGCAAATTTTCCAACCTATAATTTTACTAAGTTTGCATTCATTTATTATACGAGATTGAGGGCGAGTTTTAGGTTGTGAGTTGTCGTATTAATATTAATTTTTGGGCGCTACTAAGCAATACTCAGTGAGACTACTTTTATTATGTACTTCAAAGGGATTTTGTAACTTTATATTGTGATTAAGATATCTTTTTATTGAGCTTATTTCCGAGCCATCTAAAGATAAATTAAAATGAATTAAATGTCCTCCAATCCTAAGGGTCTTTAGATTTTTTCATTATGAGTCATCGTTAAGTGTTGTAAATTTGTAATTTTTTGTGTAATTTTTCTGAACTCGGTAATAAATGATTGTAGGCTTCGGCTGGATTATTAATGCCCTGTTTTGCCCTAAGTGACGTTTGTAATGAACCGTTTCGTCCAAAAAAAGCCAGAGTAAACACTTTTAGGGGAAACCTTTTTTACCAGAAGTCAACTTTTCAAGCTTTAAATTTAACACAAGCTTGTCAACGTCTTTGGGACTTGCCTTACTTTGCTATTAAAATTCGATTGTCTGGCGCCAGGCAATTAAGAGTTTAAAGTTTTTGTTATTCGCTTCCTCAGTGTTTGCTTTTTCAATTAGCATTTTATTTATTATTTCATAATTTTTTCGGCATGTGCCAAACTTTTTTCTTGCTTGGGAAACTACAACATTTTTGAGGGGCATGTGAACTTATAAATAACATATCTTAATCCAACTCAGATGTACTTGAATGGTTTTTTATTTTCAAACCAATTCGCTTATACCTTTCAAAACAACAAATTATGTAATGTTTTTCAAGATCAAATTTCTGCAAGAATAACTAGATATTTTTGTCAGGCAAAAGCGACAAAAAAAGATTATGAAATTTAAAATTATCCTCATGACACTTGACATATAACAAAAGCTAAAGCCAAAAACGAACAGAATGCAAAGGAAAAACAGAAACGCAAGGGAAATCGCTCATTGATGGCCAAAGCATAGACAAAGCGTTGATTGGATTTAAAGTGACAGTAATAAATGACAACAAAGGCAAGTTTCATTTATAAATACTTTTACAAAAAAAAGATATGCTGCTGCTAGGAAAAATAAGAACTTGGCTGGCTGACTGAACTTGCACCAGATGAAATCTGGGGGGGACAAGAAGCCAACTGAACGTGCTAAATAAACAGACATCGTCGCCACATTTTCGGTTTGACACACTGACAGGCCAAACAAATGGCAGCGGACCCGGGAAAACTAGAACTCGAGATCCTCCACTCATCATTTCGCCTTTTCCCTGAGCACGCAAATAGTTTCCAAGTACTCAGGGCCCACTGTAATATGAGGCATTGAAAAATATTCAAATTCTTGGCTCTCGTATTCTCATTCTTGGGTTTAATTGTGCATTATTTTAACTACATTTAGTGCAGGCGTAATTAGCTAAATTGTTAACTTAATTATTTTGGGATCCTTACGCATAGTTGGCTTGGCAAATGGCTGTGAATAAAAGACAGCCAGAAGATTTACAGTGGGCTTTATTTCTTTCATTAATGATGAATCTAGAGGATTCATAGTATCATGCATTTATAGAGCTTATAAATAAATTTAAATAATTGTGTATAATAAATTGTTAACCGACAAGAAATATGAGTTGACATTCCGTCAGAGAGGGGAATAAACAACTCTCGAAACGCTCTGTCGTTGACATTGAATTTAAGCCACGCTCAAGTTCCGCCTTAATTAGTCAAGCCCCAAGTCGATCATTTTGTTTGCTTTTTATTCAAGAGACAGTCTGGTAAATAAGAATCAGACAGCAATTATATATATTTTATTTGCTGCACCGCTTGCATATTAATCGAGGCGAACCCCTCGAAATCCCCCTTGTAATTTGTATCTTTATCTCTAAGTAAGCTGGCATACGTGGTCGGCAGGTGATTTGGTCGACCTTCCTTCCCACTCGACAGAATCGAGCTAAGTGCTCAGCTGAGGTATCACAATTTAATGCCACACTTTTTTGAGGTGTAAAAGTAAAATGTCACATGAATTTGAAATTAAAAATCCCAATCTTTCGAGGCAGACATGTGAGCATTATTTGCCGCACCCCCAACCCTTTTTACGCTTTCTTCCCTCGATTTCCCGGCGTTATTAAGACGTTGCTTAAAAGACACTTTTCCTCACATAACTTTTTTTGTTCGTTTTTGCGCATTTGAAATACATTTTTCTTTTCTGGTTTCGTTTTATTTTGGGTGCTCGCACTTTTGCCAAGTTTTTACACCGCCGCCGAGTGATTATTCATAAGACTTTGCAGAGAGATTTGTGCTGGGGCGTTTGACTGACAGCTACAACGGCTGTTCTTATTAAGGTAGAACCACCACTGCCGAAAACAGCGCACCGCCGTCGATAGTGGCACACCACCCACATGTGAGATTTATTTAACTGTGTATCCGCACCGCTCGATTTGTGTACTTACTTAAGCTGATTAAATCTGGCTCTGGGTTTCTCTGAGAATTTTTAATTTCGAGTATCATAATGGTATCAGTCTTTTCAGGTTAAGATACCTGATTTCTTATCTTATTACATTTTAAAGGAGCTACTAAAAAAACCATTGTTAAAGTTTAACTTTCTCAATTTTCAATTGAAAATTCAATAGATGCATATATGAAAGGAATTTTCTTATTTTAATGGGACTTTAACATTTCTATAAATTCTAGAATAGCCTGGAGCAACTTTTTTTGAAAGCCCAAGCTGTATGGCAAAGTTTTGTGCTAATTTCTGTTTTTTCCGAGTTTCTCCGAATGAGTATAACAAACTCATTATCCAACCATCGTAATTTATCTACCCACACGCATTGCTATAACTGTAAGTCTCGATTCAATTGTTCTCACATGTTCGGCTTTTGAATGGCCGCAACAAATTGACCAGCCAGAAAACGGACAAATGGACAACTCATCTCTCATTTAGATTGAGCATGACAAGCCAAAATGAAATAAGAAAACATAGACGGGAAAAAAGTGCGGGTAAAAGTAGCCTGGGCAAAAAGCAGCTTAAAGTTCCTTGACTTCTATGCCATATATATTTTCGAAGTTGGTTTATATGCAGACAGAGAAATACATGGCACCAAAATAGGTAAAGAGGAACAGGGTCAAAATGTTATAACCACCTCGATTAACAAATATTTGTTATTGTGTTTGACCTTGTTTTAGATTTATCTCAAGTTTTGGCATGTGAAGTTAACTCTTCATTAGAGGAACAACGAACACCAAATTTCTAGATAAAGTATGTTTTGATTGGGATTCACACGTTCAACATGAAGTATGTAGAAATATTTACTCGTTGCTCGGATTCCACAGAAAATTGTGGATGAATACTGCTGAGTGAATGAATGCACATATGATTTTTTAGATTGTTTTTTTTTTTGCAGCAGATAAAATTGTAAACGTTGCCAAGTCTGCTTTTACTGTCAAACTGCCTGGTTGGAATTTTCCTCTATGCAGTCGGTAACTTTTGAGCATTTTTTACACCCCTACGACACACTAGTTTTCCACGATATGGGCGTATTTCAATTACTTGCACGAATTGAAAACCATAGGATGGGAAAAGGGGGCTCAGTTTCAAACTGCGTGTGTTTTTCACTTTAATTAAAATGCCATCCAAACAACTCAAAAGTTGAAAGCTCTCGATCCAAATAGCGCGCAAATATTTTGCCCAAGATTACAGAATCAGATACATAGATACTGTGTGTGTTTTCGTAACCTTTTTATAAGGAATTTAAGCCAAATAACGTTGTTAGTATTTGTTATCAGCATTTTTATGTCTAATGAGTTGCATGTGATTTGATGGATGAATTTCATTTGCACAGAACAGTGAACACATTTTTGAAGTGAAATAATAGAGTTTCCATTCAGGCATAAATCTTTCCAACTCCAAATTGAACTTATTCCAAGCGGAAAATATACTTGTTTATTTACAAAAAAAATGGATATCCTAACATGGTTGACAAATTTATATATTTGTTTTTGTTTACTACTTTGCCAAGTTACCCAGCAAATGCACATATTTTTCTTGATTTATGCATCGCAAGTCTCCACTCAATTCCTTTCATATAAGTACAAAAGCAGCTCCAAGAGGTTTTTACGTAAATTCACTTTATGTGTGAGAAGCAGTAAGCTTATGTACAAATGCGTACAAATATGTACTTCTATATGGGTGAGTAATGTACATATATGTTCATACATATATGTAGAGAAAACTCTTCTGTTTGTTATTTGCCATACGAATGGGGGAAAATTGCATTTTCTCAAGTGCAGGGCCGCATTAAATTATGCACAAACGAAGGGCGCCTTTCCCTTTGAAATGAAGCATTTCAAAAAATTCCGAGCATGACATTCTCAAGATTTTTACCACCGAGTCAAGAAATACGGAAAACCAAGTGAAAACGAAATGAATTTAAATCGAGTCAAGAGTTATGTTAAAGTATGACATTAAGCAAATTGTTTTCACACTCATAAAAACATACAAAATACTTTCGATTAAGAATGAAAATTGTCTGGTTTGATCGCAATAGCAAATAGTTCAGAAGACATTACAAAT